AATTGGAAGTTGTATTTAACAAACAGAGCACCCAATGAGCTCACTTTCTAGATTTCCGCGGAGAAAGCGGCGAATATCAAGAGTGAGTAAAAGGCCTGTCACGATTGGTGATAACGGGCGATAAGGATATCGAAGTGGGGGATGATCCTGGCACAATTGACAAGAAGCCCTGAGGTTTGGTTTAAGGAGTGATCAAGAGTTAGGCAAAGGTCTTTGAGGTGGATCTTATACCATTGACTCATATATAGCAAATATAGCAGACACACAACACTTTCCAAAATTTTCTATACATCTTTATCGCCTAAAACGGTTAAAGGCAATTGCGTGCTTGGTGAATTCACGTGACACTAAATACTGGGGAAGTGGCCAGACTTACCTAAAATAGCTTAGCGGGGATGTGCAAGTAAAAAGTGTGCGTGGTCCTTAACTCTTTGAAAAAGCGCTATACTATGATTTCAAGAGGGAGGTCAACGAATACTCTGGTCTGACGTGGGAGACATCGTGGTGTCAAATTCTCGGGTTTGACCTGCCGGCTTCTTCGGTGAAGGCAACTCGTCTGGTGCGCTAGACCCTAAGCCAAGAAGAGGTGGCCCATACTTTCGGGGTTGAGGATGGTGTGCGTGCTCTGTTCTCCTCGCAATGCTAAGAATATCCCGGCTTCCCTTAGATAGAGAAACAGATGACAAAAGATCTATTCTCCATAGCGCTGTCGTTATGCAAAGCCTTGAAGCCCTGCTAGAGCAAGGGATGATTGCTGTGGCTCCAATTCCTGGCAAAATCACCAACCCGACCTAGTTCAGATGTGTTGTATTAGATGAGACGAAAAATGAAAACTTTGTTCACGAGGGAGTGAAGAGAAATCATCAACATGTATTTTGCAGACTTCAAATGCATCGGGAACACTCATCAGCGCTCTGAAGATTCTCCGACTCCTTTGGACCAAATGCATTCGGTCCCTTGACGTCGGTCGTACCATCACGGCCTGTGGCAACTGCCAGTGGCAGGGCCAGGAGAAGCGTTGTGACTTCTTTCGATGCCCCTTTGTCCTATATACACCCTGCAGTCACCAGCGTGGCCGGATTTCTCGTCATCCATCAACTCCCTAGTGCTGGCAACTTTGCTATCGATATGCCCACAACACTATGGAATTGTGCCCTCATGTAGATATATGACACACAAGTCGGGGCCTGAGAGAACTATCTTCTCATACGGTGGAGTAACCAATGAGGTCAATGACTCCTGACTACAGTCGAGAAATGTACAACAAAGTTACAATCTGTTCGCTCTTCTGTCGCTCATACTTTCAAATTATATATGCGTAACTGCTTTCCAGCATGTGCTTGTCAATATATAGTTCAGGGCATGCTGGATTTGCCACTAATCCCAACTAGGTATAGCCTGAAAACACCACGATTCGGTGATCCAAAGGCCACGCACAATCGTGTCCCGCAGCCAGGACAATGTAGATTTATACGATTTATAGGGCTAAGATCATTATTTATAGTCCTGGAGGTTTCTGATAGATAACTAGGTGATGTTAAAATCTGGCTAAGAGCCTCATATGGTGGTATTTATGGCATATTTAGTTCCATGAACAGAGAACAATACATTGTTAATTCTAGCTTAGATGGTTAGGTATCCAGAAGAGACTGAATCATACTTGCTGGGAATATTCCAAAGAGCTAGCTGGACAAGAGGACAACTGGAAGTAGAAGTCCCAGGAAGACAAAGTAATGTTTCGGTCACGTGGGATGGAGCTTCCAGGTCGTAAGGGCGCGCAACACCGGAGCTACAAGCATCATCTCCATCTCATCCTCTTCCATTCCACGAATCTCACGTTGTCAAGTGCAACAAACGTGTTCAAAGAAATTTCCTACAACTCAATCTATTAATCTTTTAAATTGACTCACCGGCCACCCCAGCCTCATTCGTCATCATGTCCGGCGGCCTGCTGAAGCCCGAGAAGGACTTCACCAAGGATGCCGACAAGCTTATCCCGGAGGCGGAAGATCTCGCAAAGGTAAATCTTCAGAGTTGTTATCCATATCAAAACTGATGCTAACACACGTGGCTCTAGACCGATGTTCAGGGAGCAGTCGATAAGCTGTTGGGCCTGGAGAAGCAATCCAGACAGGTACGATGCCGAGTGCCATCTCCGTTACCGATCCACCCAAACTAATCAAGGGTCTCTTATTCAGGCATCCGATCTTGCCACTACATCGCGACTCCTGATTGCCATTGTCACTATCAGCAAGAACTCCGGCGACTGGAACCTTCTCAACGACCAAGTGCTGCTCCTATCCAAGAAACATGCCCAACTTAAGCAGGCCACAACGAAGATGGTGCAGACGGTGATGAAATTCCTGGATGAGACACCTAGCCTGGAGGTCAAGATGTCTGTCATTGAAACCCTGCGCACAGTGACTGAGGGAAAGGTACGCTGAGAACCATTTGATATTGACCGGAGTGGCGCTAATTATCGCAAAGATCTTTGTTGAAGTAGAGCGAGCCCGCGTTACCCGCATACTTTCGGATATCAAGAAGACCCAAGGTGATCTCACTTCGGCAGCAGACATCCTGTGTGAGTTGCAAGTGGAGACATTTGGGTCAATGACGAGACGGGAAAAGACAGAATTCATCTTGGAGCAGGTCTCTTTGTGCATCGAGCGCGGAGACTGGACCCAGGCTCAAATTCTTAGCCGCAAGATCAACAAGAAGTACTTCAACCGCAAGCCGAAGAAGTCCGCCGAGGAGATCGAGAAGCTCAAGGAGCAGGCAGCGGAGCGAGAGAAGACCCGTGGGCCTGACGAGGCACCTATGGAGGTGGATGACGACGTCACAGATCTCAAGCTTCGTTACTTCGAACAGCAGATTACCTTGGCCAACCACGATAACAAATACCTCGAGGTTTGCAAGAACTACCGGGAAGTCCTAGACACACCAGCAGTCGAGAACAACCCAGAGCACCTGCGTGCCGTGAGTAAAACCTTCCATATCAGAATGCAGGCCACCACTAACCTCACTCTAGTCACTCGCCCGCATTGTGTACTACGTTGTCCTGTCTCCCTACGATAATGAACAATCCGACCTCTTGCACCGCATCAAGCAAGACTCGCGGCTGTCACAAGTCCCCGAGGAATCCCGCTTGTTGAAGCTGTTCACCATTCCCGAGCTGATGCGATGGCCAATGGTCGCCGAGCAGTTCGGTCCCCACCTGTGCAGTACAGACGTATTTGACGCCGAGGCGAAGCAGTCCACTGAGAACCAAGCAAACCGGAGGTGGCAAGACCTGCGGAAGCGTGTCATTGAGCACAATGTCCGTGTAGTGGCCAAGTACTACACTCGCATTCAGATGGGCCGTCTGACCCAGCTTTTGGATTTGACCGAGGAAGAGACCGAGAAGTACATTAGCGACCTGGTCACGTCGAAGACCATCTACGCTAAGATTGACCGACCCGCGCGGTTGGTCAACTTTGCCAAACCCCGGGATGCCGATGACGTTCTGAACGAGTGGAGCAGCGACATGAAGAGTCTGCTGGGTCTGCTCGAGCGGATCGACCATCTGATTACCAAGGAGGAGATGATGGCCCGTATCCAGCCCACTCGCAGTGACATGGGCAAGGCGCATTGAGTTGGTTTGAGATGAAAGCATGTATGGGACTTGGGCGCGGGGATTACTGCCACCGCGTGTAAAATAATTCGCCGGTAGACCCATGAGTAGTGAAGTCGCAGCATTGACCTTTATATGACCCATACACAACACAATCTCAGTCTCGTAACAGTAGCAATCATCAATTCGTTATTCTCAAGCGAGTATATGTGCTACATTTAATCATGGCCTAGAAAAATCTAGTCTAATCCAGTTCAGATCTAGCTCTGTCTATATACAAAATCCTCGCCCTCAGAATGGCAAATCCATATCATTCACATCCTCTTCCACCTCCTTCTTACCATTCGCACCAGCACTCCGCTCCATCTGCTCCCGAATAAACAGCACAGCAGCATCAAGATACGGCCGCTGGCTCGGCAAAAAGTGACCACCAGGGTGCCAAACAACCAACCCATCCTTCTCAGGCTCACCAACACAAGCCTCAACCAAAGCCCGACTCCTCGACTCCTCAACAACAGCATCCAAAGACCCAAGCACATGCAAAACAGGCGTCTGAATAGCCGGCTCCTCATAGAAAGCCCTGTACCGAGCCCCAGGCGCCCTGAACCCAGAGTAACAAACCGCAAACTTAAGCTGCGGATGCAAGCCCTCCTCGCCGAATGGCGCCGGAATTACCATCCCCGCCGCACCATCAGTGCTTATCTTAGAAAAGTGCTCGAATGACTCCTTCCGGCCGGGCTCCAGCAGCGCCGCAACCATGGCGGCCAGCGCCGCGCCCTGCGAGAAACCGATCACGCCGTCGAAGGGGCCTTCTTCTTTCAGTGTACGCGCTACAGCTGCGAGCCCTTCTTCGATGCCGGTGTACAGCGGCGGGTTTGCGGTGTTGGAGCGTCGCCACCAGCCGTAGGATTCGATTTCATCGTCTGGGCTGCTTTCCGAGGAGGGCTCGTAGCCTGGGATGTCGGCGGGTCGGAGACGGATGGGCGCTGTTGGGTAGATGGCGGAGACTTCGTGGAGGGGGAAGGCCTTTTGGATGTGTTTTGTTAGAGCGCGACTTTTGGCGTGGAAGAGCGTGCCGGACTGCGTGTAGCCGTGGAGCATGAGCAGTTTGAGCGGTTGCCGCGTCGAGGTTGTGAGATTGGGGGCCATTGTTGCTAGAGGTCGTGTGTGGGTGACTCTAGAAAGTAGGGAACTTAGGGGCTTGGAGGAGAGGGTTGTTCTATACATTGGAGGAAAGAGGAGAAACTAGAAGGTGACTCTTTTCTTCCTCCCCGATGCAGGCGCGATAAGATAAGGAGAGTGGAGTCTTTTTGCCAAACAAGCGGCCCGCTAAGCCGCAACTCAGCTAACATTTGAAGCAATGAGTGATTTTACAACTTTACTCGCAAATATGGCTGACTTCGCGGCTGGTGCGTGTTCCCGTACCGTCGTCGATGTAGGCGCATGGAGACCACCGGGTACCGAAGCCTGTAAGAGGCTATCAGCCAACGAGCCGGGTTTGGAGAGTTCAATGGAGCAAGGGAGACAGAAAGCCTTCTGGGTATCTAAGCCTGAGCATGCGTGTTTGGGCTTCCCCATAATATTCGCGCACAGCGAGGCGGACGCACTTGATTGGCAAGCTCTCTTTGACGAGCGCTATCTCAAGTACACCGTCGTTTCAAGCCTGAGCGAGCTTGATATATTGATATGGCGTGGCATATCCATATGGTTAGGTGGATTACCGGTCGGTGCAAAGCTAATCTGTCCCGCCTCTTTTGGAGGCAGCAAGGTTGCTGACCTTGCCGTGCCCGACGGGCGGGTAAGTGGTACACATGCTGAGACCTACACGAAATGGCGCTTGATGCCTCTCGACCTTATGGAGAAAGAGTGGGGATTGTTAGTACGAATTAGAAGGAAAGAAAAAGAGGAAGTGATAGAAATCTCGGCGGTTTGGTTCGTTCTCCCTGTGGAGTTCCAACTTTTTAAGGTTGTGGGGCTTAACTAGGCGGACCTCCAGATTTATATCGGAACATTCCCTCATCTCGTTACGTGTACCTTACATATGCTTCGCTCAACTCTTGCACTTCACTCTTATCACAGTCAGTGGGTCAGTGTAGTAACCTTCGTCTAAACTGGGTCTGCTAATACATCCTGCATTCAGACCTTTACCCGTCGTTGTGTCGTTCCTTCAGTACCATACTGTTGCCGCAAGTAACAACTCAGTTGAGAGGCTCTCCCCCTCTTACTGAATGTACTCCCTCTACAAATTGCCCCAGCGACGTTGAAGCCATGCCTGGTAGACCTATCGAAAACCACTCAAACGCTGTCAAGTATCTTGGAGTCGACGATTTCCTTGACGTCGTACGTCGGCAATACGATTCACTAAACTAGCTCAAAACCGGCCACCAGATCCTCAAGTTTAAATCAGTCCCGGAAAAGGCGTTTGAAATCTTATCAGGTGACGACACACGGCCGTGTAAGTTCGTCAGACTGCAGTATCATCGGCCAACTCAACTTCTACTCGTGAAGATCACACCAGGCTGGGACCATGAGAATCTTATTTTCCTCGTTCGAAAATTGATTGATCGACAGCTGAATGCTATGAATGTGGACCTTGAGTGTCTCACGCTAGGTTCCCCGCGCAATAAAATTGGTGACTGGATTAAAGAACCTGATATTTGTTGGGCTCCAGCTTTTTTCGTCTAACAAACCAACTTGCGCGGTCGAAATCGGCACGTCTGAATCTACGTCTCACCTGTCGGCCGATGCATATGGCTGGCTGGAAGCGCCCCAATCACCAGTCAAAGCCGTAATTACTATTTCCTTCAAGTACCTGTGCGCGGAAACCGACGAGAACCCCCTCAGCATCTCCGTCTGGAAACCAGGACGCCGACTATCTAGTCATGATACAGGGACCAACCTCTCGACTGCTATCCGCACAGCACATATCGACGTTTGGAACGTCGCCGGCTCTCTCTCCGTGTCCGGATTCTCTCACGATGTCGACACGCAACTACCTGTCTCTGCTGATGAAATTCAACTTCCCTTGGAGCTTTTGATCGGTCGACTACCTTCCCATCCTAGGGAACATGACATTGTGATAACTCAAGATATGTTACTCTGGATTCTGCACCAGCTATGGGAATACCGCCGGCAACGGGTAATATTACAGTAGGTTCGAATTGCCGTCGGGTCTTCAGATGATTTGCTATAGGGGTTTCCGAATGAGTTGACGACAAAGGCTGTTTTTCTTTTCTTTTTCTTTTTTCTTTCTGATTTGGCTGGGATATTTGCTATAGCAGCTCGGGGCTGTTGCGACCTGATAATGTCCCCGTTGGGTGACCACTTCGACAATAAATACCTGTCAAGGCGTACGGGCGACTAAGTGTCCCACCTGGACATAACTTTCTTGCTGGATACTGCCTGACTGTAGATTATCAACGTCTTCTCGAAGCATATATGGTGTTTTAATTTGTATACTACTTCGTAAGAAAAGGGGACCTAAGAAGTCAAGGCCCGAGAAGCCAAGGAAGGGTAGTGTGCTAAGGCAGCCTAGAGTATAGGTATAGTACACTAGTTTAACACAATGAACTATATAAGCTTAATACTACTTCTTATCTGGTCTTTTCACTGGTCTTTTATGGTTCTTTTTCTCAAACAGAAATTGAACTGTTTTATAGTATGGAATTACCATGGAATATGCATTTTCAAACTATTAATTACATAGAGAATATGATTATGAAGTATCACTTAAATGCACTTAGAGTGTAAGGTAAATATGTTAATACAATTTTGACTAGAGACTATATTTAGTCCTAACCCTAGAAGGTGAGAGTGGACTAAATTACTGCTTGTCAAGATGACCTCCGCAAAGCCCACAAAGCCCAAACAAAGCCTAACCCGCCCCCAACCCACTAACAGGCTAGGTTTTGGGCCCGGTCCTTAGGCCCTAAATAATATAAACATTCCGAAAAACGTTACTGCTTTGATTACCCTATATTTAGACCCTGTTTCTAGCCCTTATCTCGAGGTAATATTTTATTATTCTAATCGATTCTAAATCAGAATTTAAGCTCTATACGATTAGTAGAAGGTTGGTCTAAAATAACCTAATGAAATAGTTGCTTCCAGACACAGGCTAAGGCTCTTGCTTTGACTCAGTAAGGCATTATGCTAGATTTTCATGTTCATTCCTACATATTCATTCGAGGGGATGGGAAGGTCAGGACGAGCTTGGCCTGGCTTGGTCTACGGTTTCCATCTTTCACGTTACTGGCATCTCTTGTACAGTGGCGTCATGTACACAACAAAAACTTTACATATCCATATGTACATACGACCTTGAATGAAACTGGGTTCGGCTTCTTTTGTGCTTCAAGTTTTAATATTTCTCTTCTAGTATTCATAGACGAGAAGAATGATGCACCCATGATAGACATCCCGAGGCAGTATAGGTTCCACTAACGTTAGCCAAGATATTCAAGCAAGATAGAGTATCAAGCAAAACAACAAAGCAGGAAGCTCTGTTTTCCAAGCTTGGTCACCTTGAGGCTTACTATACCAAAGCAGACAAGCGTAGTGCGCAATGTGGGGAACTCTCGGGACCCGCATTCTTGGGATCTTGGGGCAGCAACTATATAATTGTAGAACAGAGGCCATGACTGAACCCGCGTTGATTTTCTATAGTCTCTTTATTTTGAGATTTAGATGTTCGTAGCCCTTAATAAGAGTTCAAAAGTTGTAAAAAGGGCGCAATCTTTCCTTAATCTCACAATGTTCGAGTATTATCGAACCTAGGAGAAGTAGATAGAACAAACCCCCAAAACGTCGCAAGCGGTGCTAGCGAAAGCGTAATTGGAATGGCTGCGTTTTGCAAATCACCTGCATGACCCCATTGAAACAACCATGCGAAGAAGAAGTAGACCGATGGAGACAGGAAAGCGAGACTATAAATCGCTAGTCTGAATGCCGAACGTCTCTCTACGACATACAGACCCCTTCTTCAAGGGCAGTTTCTCGTTTAGGAATTTTCTCTTCGACAACAGCTCTGCTTCCCAGGGGGAAACACGTCTTGCTTTTTGCCCGGTGCTGATCTGTAGAAAGTAGTCGTCGGGCAGTGCGAGACCAAGATCTTTTATAGAACCAATGGTCGAACTCATGTGATGCCATTGGCGGCCGGGGACGCATGGGCTTTGGCGCGTAGTGGTAAAATGGTTGGTCCTCGTCGGGATATTCGGGTAGTAAGGGAGCGTATTCATACCCGTCGAATCTTCGAAACTGATAATGGTTAGCTGGTTGCCAATCGGAGCTGGTGTTGTGAGACTCACCCGAAAGAATTCACAGTGCGCATATCTGTAGAGGCCAAACCAGATGGCAAGAAATCCTCGGTGAGAATAATATGAATTCCGAATCCATGTGAAAAAGTCGTGATCGCTTATATCATGAACGGCTGTCTGAGCGAGACAGTGCATACTACCGAAAATTGAAGAATTTAGGAGAACAAGGAAAGCATGTAGCGGATAGCCAACAGTTCGAAGACTTTGTGAGCTTTGACATTCAGCTGTCGACACAGGAAGACCTGACTGGGAAACTGGTTTTCCGGTTTGTGTTCTGGTTTTCATGCTGGAGAGTTGACTTGAGGTACCTATATCAGGGAGTGAACTGCTGTTTCCTGATACCTTCTTCTGATTTACTTGTGCGGCATGAGTTCTAAAAGCGTCCTCGATTTTGAGTCCAAAGGATTGAGGGACCGCCGCCCAACGCGTATCACCGCAGGGCTGGAGACATTTACATCAGTAATATGTTGACTCCAGTTGAAGGAAGTATACATACACATTCCCAGCACAACCTAATTTGGTCTTGGGCGAGGGGCACCATGTATGGCCGAAAGGGCCGCCAGTCAAGCACCCCAATGATTGTTTCAGCTTTGCCCTTCAAATTATTCCAGAAAGACATCCCATCCTTGGTTTTCATAGACACAAGTTCTGGTTGAGTATTCTTCAATTCAGTGAGGATATTCTCGAGGGCCTGCTTCTCGTCGAAAGCTTAAACACCGCAAGAAAACTGCTCGCGGACCCAATCTGCCAGAATAAATCCCAGTGATAAGGAGTAGACGATGGAACTGGTGCTACTATACTCGGGTCGAACTGAGGACGAGGAACCTTGAGGCGTAGGAGAACGTTCACTCCGAATGTCGTCCATGGGGTTATCAGGCGAGGTATCTGTCCTAGTAGTAGTTCCTCGCCGGAATAATTCACGTCCTGATTCAAAACTCTGAAGCAGCCACTTTGGCATACCAGGATCCTTGCTGGATGATACGGTGCTGTCGACTGCTTCTTCTTGGGTGGTCTGTGGCTGCAACCTCTCCTTGTCACTGGCGGAGTAGCTCGGGGCTTTTCTTGTGGTTTCCTGCTCGGTTGGTCTATCTTCACCTGTCAACCTCGGTGTCGTCGGCAACATTAGCGGGGTCTTTTCGATTTTCTCGTTGGGGTATCGATATTGTCCACACTGGGAGCAAAAATCATTTATTGGCAAATTGTAGGCATAATTGCATGCGCAGCAGTACCACCAGAGATTTGCCATGGTGCCACAAGTGATAGGAGTTAACAAACAGAAGAACAACAGTGCCGTAGGAGTAATCGATGTCGAGATATAGAATTTGTAAGTTGGGACAGAAATACTAGTTTGCAGTGAGAAGTTCAGGCGGATAAGGTATCTAGCCCAATGTGATTATCTGGTGCATGTTCTTATATTAATGTGAAGGGCCGTGCTTTTGTTTTCACAGCCTCATTTACCCCAGGTCAAGGCTGACTGGCTCGATAGAAAGATCTTTGACTTACGATTGTGATAGGCCGGAAGGCGCAGTGAATCGGCTGGTCACCTTTTTATATTGCTCACACTTCTCAGACAGAGAGGCTGGGTGATTCTCCGTTGCGCCCCCACACTTGACCTATGTAGGGTATAACATTATTGGGCCGCTTTGATCCACCTGAAATCCTTGGTCTGTCCGGGATTCTCGGAGGTCCAGCTCAAGTCTTGGATGGCTGAGAGATACAGCTTCTCTATTCAGTCAACAGCTTACTTGGGACAGTGCTTTCAAGCTGGATAGTCGGCAGATAGCACCGTTGATATGTTATGACAGTGTATACCTATAATATAACGACATGTAAGGTTCGGCAGTATAGAGCTACAGCTATACATCTACAATCTACAATTGGCGGCGATCTAAGGTACAACTCGTGATATAGAGTGTAGAGCCCAATATACAGTAGTCGCAGATACATTTAAACATTTAACACAAGAAAGCAGAAAATCAGAACATAAAACAGAGCACAAAGTCAAGCAAAGTGCCTTTTTTGTGCCAGATATCCGGAACTCCCTTAGCAGAATGCTGGTTGCTTTTTTTAGAATGCTTTTGGTCGTTGACAGGGTCGGGGCATTCCATCTTCTATCTGTCATCACGCGCAGGAAAAATCAAGAATTCAACGCTGAGATATTAATCATCACCGTGAAATGTAAAAGAAAGAACAGGCAACGGTGGGAAATAGGATGAGAAACGGGCCCAAAAGGCCACATTCAAATTTTGTCTTCTTCAGAGGGGATCAGCATACTGATATAGTATGGAAAAAGAACCATATCACATCATCTGCAAATCGCACCCCCTCTCACAACCCAACACCAGTCGAAAAAAAACAGTTAAAATGTCCATGTGGTTCGGTAGGGGAAGGGTGATATTGAAAAAAAGGGTTGTTTGGTATGTGACATTTTGAAGCCCGGTAGGAAGAGAGAAAGAGAGAAAGCCCAATATATGGAACTGGGCCAGAATAGCAACTCTCTCCCCGAAACACCGAAAACCGAAGCCGAGACGATCAAAAAAAAGGTAAGAGGTCAACCCCGGGTTTTGGTATTTTCATCCTAATTTCTCCATGCTAATTCTCTCTTTGACGTTTCAACCGGAACATAACAAGAAAAAATAGTTTTCATTCGTTTCTCGTTTACTTGCGGCGGAAAGAGCAGCCCTCGGTCAGACGGGCCTTGCCACCCGTGGGCTGGCAGAGGACGGTCGAGCAACCGGCGCAGATGACGACGGTCTGGGCGTGCGAGAAGACGGTGGTGATGGTGAAGCAACCGGGGCACTTGACGTCCATGAAGAAGGAGCGGGGCTGGGGCACGAGGGTCTGTCGAGAAGATTCGATAATCAGCCATTGTTCTTCCAATAATTCCATATTCCACAAAAAGATTCCATATCATCCTGTCGTTCGGTGCCTTTTCCCATTTGCTCCATGTCGAGCATCGGAGGTCCCGGGTCCAGGTCGAATAATCCAGGTCTTCGCCCCTCGGGTTGATATTTTCACAATCTTTCGTGGTTCTTTCGGAGTTCGGTGGTTTCATACCTTAAGCTTGTGCTTACGGGCCTCGGCCTGGGGGTGGGGTTGAGGAGATCGACCGCGAGAACCTATCGACAACATGTTAGCTTCGGGTGGACGTTGAATTTTTGAATCGATAATCCGTATAGGTCTTCCATGTCCGTGTGTAATCGCATCGAACATGGACCGAGCGGAAAATCAGGGCGAAAATGGGCTTACCATCTTGACGAGTGAAAGTCGATCAGCGAGATAGTTGATTAATGGCGCTGATGGCGATGGCCTTGTGTGATGCGGATGAGGTGGTCTTCCAAGAGAAGTCTGAAGGGATTTGGACCGGTTTGGGTGGAGGTAGGGCTTTGTGCCGCTTTGTGCCCTCGCTTGTCCTTATTCGGGAAGGCGGCGAACTTTCCACCAATCAAAGTATGATTAGGTAAGTTACTGAGGTAAGCACGAGCTCAATCGCTGGTTCCATGTGGAGACGTGGATTCCGCCCCGGGCAGGCAGTCAGGTGCTTCAACATTCTTCTACAACAATCTCAAAACAAACGGCAAAATTACAACTCTCATATTCTATCGCTAAATAGCCACCCCGAGCTATTTGCTCTGTGTTGAAGGAAAACAAAATTATGTACTGGAAAACGTCATTAGCCAGGCATTTTGTCCAACGCTCTTTTCAAGTGTCCGACTGAATCCCCGACTCTTCCACTCAGCTCAACTGAGCTGTCTCGCCTGTGGTGATCGAGGTTGAACTGCTGTTCATCCACAAGCCCACCAAACACTCCGCATTGCACCAGTAATCTCTTTACTTGGTCTTCTTCGACACGCCGTTCTTGCGCTCAGTCTTCTTTGACATGCCGTTCTTGCGCTCGGTCTCCTCGACGAACGGGTACTTGATCGTGAGGCACCAGATATCGAGGTAGTCGCATATCGTGGTGATAATGTCAAACTGGGGGAAATCAAGATCAGCAAATCGTCGCGCGCAGGGGAAAAGATAAGGGGAAACATACCACAAAGCTACCGTACACACCGACGGCCAGTCCCACGCACCCGAACACGAATGCCACCTGCCCAATACCGTACCCAAGCACAGGGGCGGACCACAAGCCGATCAGCGCACCCGCGCTGTCCAATACAGCCAGAGCAAGCGGGTACAGCAGGACATTTTGATAGGGGAAACTCGTCTGAGTGAGGTGGCCGATGATAATGCGGCCGACAGAGTAGGCATTGATGAGACTCACAAACAGACCGAAAGGAATGGTGTAGTTTTCCAAAATCACCGGCTGCAGGTATAGGTAGGCTGGAATAATAGTCCAGATGACCGCCAAGGGCAGGAGGCCATACAGCGGGGTGAAGGGGTCCTGGCCGCGCTCGCGACGCACCTGCATGACGTGCATGATGCTCGAGCCGATTGCGAAGCAGAGCACGATGGAGCCGTACGTAAGATACCAATGCGTGAAGGGAATGTTGTACACCCAGTTCGGGAGGAAGCTGGGCTTCGACACGCCGATGGTCTCCAGCATGCCCTGGTGCCAGAAGCTGCCGCCGCCCATGTAGGCAGTGAATAGGTAGACGAGGCAAATGGTGAGGATGCCCTCGACGGGGCCGGAGACCACGCCCAATGTGAGGATTTGCGTGTAGTATTCATCCCAGGTTTGGACGTAGAAGGTCATGGTTGCTGTGGTGGTCAGCGGCGATTTATGTGTGGAAACGCAGGAGGGCTGGACTTACAGCCGAATAGAGCGATGAAGGTCATCCAGGACTGGCCCATGTTCATTGCCGATGCGAAGACCAAGACGCTGAGACCGGTATTGCATGCATCGACACCTAGTAAAGTAGAAAGAATCAGTAATCCATACACCTCAGCCTCTATCATACTGTCTTCGGGAACTCACTGTGATCAAAGAGTTCGCCAAGCGGGCCACTCTGTCTCGTCCTCCGTCTAAAACGCAGCCAGTATCAGTAACGCGCCCCTTTATTTTCCGCCGGAAAATTGTAAACATACGCTTGCATGCCATCTACGGCATCGAAGGTCTGGTACAGGAACAAGCCAATCGCGCAACTGAGATAAACCCAGGGCGGACAGTCCGTATCCAAGTTCGGGTTGTACCACATGACGGTGAGGAAATTAATTACCACGAACATAAATCCGCTGAGGGTGATCTACCGAAGCGAGGGATTAGGATATTTTCTTATACGGCAATTGTAACAGTGTCGCATGGGCAAGACTTACGGCATTGGGTCTTTAGACGCGCAAAGAGAAGAATAGAGTTAGCCATATTGCGCTGTGTATAGATGATCTGGAATGGAATAGAAGACGGGAAGAACATCATATCCATCTTGGTATTCAAAAGGGACACAATCACGAGGATGTATAACCATGCTCACAAAATCCGGGGAATGAAAGCAAGGGAGGAAGTATACTTACGCCATCCCCATGGGGAAGCAGCGAATCACACATTTGTTGTAAAAGGGCTTTAGAATAAACTGACTGACAGGCGAGTGATCAACTCCGACATATTTGTAGTTCTTCAGATTCGCCAATTCATGTTGCCGGATGTAAACCATTCTCTGGATTGTTTTGCGCGTATATGAACGCGCGGGTGTTTATTGTTTGAATATTCCGTTCTGGGCGCGAGGCTTATATTCAATGGGAGTTGTCGCGTTGCGTTGTTCGCATCTAAGTACTCGGGCACTTCTGCAGGTTATTGACGCGCGATTAGGGTCGAGGGATAGTTAAATGAAGGATATCGGAGAGGGTATCGCCGGGAAAGGGAAAAAGAAAACAAAGGGAAACAAAAGAGTGTAAGAAATGAAGAAGAAAATCCGGTCGCTGTTAGAAAGAAACAGCCGTAGACGCAGGTCTATAGGGGCTTGATATTAAAGATCGGCGATGAAGAGTCTAAGAGGCCACTTGGTCTCGATGTTTTGTTGATTTTTGACTTTTTTTTCTGCCGGCGGAGAGAAGTGAGGTCTTAGATTAGATCGGAGATATTGGTTCATATTGACTGATATATAACTAAATTATTATACATACACAGATATATGTATTTACACTGTACGAGTTCGATTATAAACTTATTCTTTGTTAGGTCGAGAGTTCATGTGCAGGTATTCACTGCCCGAGCATAAGCGTTGCCAATGAGATGCCCCCAAAGTGTTGAGGCCAAGAAGTGGGGGTATCCGAGGGCGCTCGGGGCTGGTAGGATCCGAACTTAATGAATATGGGAAATTCCCAGGTCGGATTCTACTCCGTACCAAAAAGAGGTTTGATGTTTGACTTGTGAAATTGAATGCTTAATGCCTAGGTACACAATACAGAATCGGATGCAAAGGGCCTATTGCCATAGCAAGCATCCCGACAGAATGGAAATAAGGGTATGGAGTAATAGCGAGAATATCCGTCACACCTCGCGACATCCTGATCAAACACCTGAACAATGAAGATTGCATGGACGCCAAGATCCAAGGAAACAGGCCAAGGGAAAACGTTTCAGGTCTCAAAATTCAGCCGACGGGGCTCCAGGGCATCGGAACAAGAATCCGACTCTGCATGCTCTGGATCAAGGGAACGGTTTTGTGAACCGTCTCGGCCCAGCCTTCGACGCCCCATGACTGCTCGCGGCAGATCTTGCGCTCCTCCAAGTTGGCAAACTGCCACAGGTGGTGCACTGTGTTCAATTCACCGATTTGCACGAACCATGCGCCTACACCCTCCATCACCTCACGACGAGCTGTAAGGCCACGGCGCCAATGTGTCTCCCACTCCAGAAGATTGCCTGGGTGCAGAGTGTACGACCGAAGCTCAAAGAGTCCACCGAGACGGCGAGGCGGGGTTGTGGGCCAGAACGAGAACTCCTGCATCAATGAAGTCCTCTTGCTCTTGATCAGACTCTTGAGTTTGTGATCAAACTCAGAGAACTCGGGGTGTTCCGAAATACTGTGAAGGGAGGCGTGATAGCCTTCGTAGCGTTGGTATTCCCAGATGTGGACTATTCAAGTAAAGCCAAGAGTCAGTCCACAGAAAATGGTTGGGTTGCTTGATCGGGACTTACTAAAGGTATCATTATCGCCCACTTGTGTCCGCCAGCTGCCTACCAAGTTGACACGGTTCTCCTCGGTACCCGCCATACGAGGGTACCACTCGCCGACCAGTTCAACATATTCATCAACCTTGTCGGGCAGAACGTCGTGCATGACGATAGAATGGACGTATTTACCGCGAGCTAGGACCTCTGAGAAGGAGCGCTCCATATCCTTGTCGAAATGTTGACCCTCCTTGGTGCCGTAGATGAGCGAAGACAAAGGGCCACGTTTGGCCACAGCTTCTTGGTGTTTGTCATCCCCTATATATCGGTGCGTCGAGAGTGAGCCCAGTCCCTTTTGGTCAAGCGCCGTGGCAGCATCGAAAGTAGGGCAGATACGATCATGTTTGCTCGCATTGCTCACTTGTGGAGCAGTGGGAGCGTACTCACGGGAAGGGGGAGATGAAGAAGCAGAAGCATTGACAGACTGACTCTCTTGCTGTTCTCTTTTCAAACGAGCCTGCTCCAAGTTCTCGCGGAACTCCTTTTGTCGTCTGAGGTACTCCTCAGTCGACTGGGCGGTGATATCTCGAATGGAGGGAGAGCGATAGGCCACGGCTGACGAGCTAAAGGGCCGCAAGAGGGAAGTCACCGAACGGGCTGAGCGGGCTGCGCGTGGACCCAACATGATGGTATGTGGAAAGAGCAAGGGACAGAAAGTACGCTTGACAATGAATCCAAGTTGACAATAATCTGGGGAAGGACAGTATAGAATTAAGGGAGTTGGGAGGAACAGGAATAGTGAAAGGTGTAGAAACAAAGTGAAGAGGGGGAGAGAGTGGATAGGTGCAGGGATCTGGAGTTGCAGGGGAGAGTTGAAGAAGGGGGCGATGATCGGTGATGTGTGTACCGATTGGATTATGAGAATGTTCGCCGGTAATCAAAGTCAGACAGTAGCCTGGAGATAGAATTAATGTGAATTGATTACCCTACATGTAGGTATTGTATAGAATACTTACCAAGATGCTTCAAATGAAGCTCATGTGCGGGGAAGGAGCTTCCCCGAGTTCTTGGTATGGAGTAATGGTGACGGGCTGTGTTGGTACCACTTGCCCAAGTTTACCGCCAATCTACTACTGAATGTGGGTAATGATGACATCGCCCAGATGTACTCGGTACCCTTAGACATCCGTTGGTGCGTACTCCATACGGAGGATATTACTCCGTATATCGCCACTTATTAAGTTCTATACTAACTAGAGCTACGGAGTATAGACACGGCTGTTCGCAAATATCATGCAATACAAAATCCGATATATTTGCCGCTATGACGTTGGTCTCCACGCACTTGCACATCACTATGTATGTTACTGCACTTCGAGTTGTATGTTATACTGTGTCCACCTAAAATGAGTCTATAATCACAATAATAGCCGTAGATTGGGGTATACCCTGCAAATTAGGCAAGTTGGAAATTCATAGGCAAACAAGAAGTGATGACGTTGCCGCATAAACAGCGATTGGGCGCCAAACCCTTTAGACACCGCCCCCGGGCAGATCTCGACCCTCACCTCCCGAGGTTCTAACTTC